GGCCGGGGCCGGTGCGACGTGACGTGACGTGACGTGACGTGACGCTGTACCCTTCTCTCGCGCAGGTGGACGCTCCGCAACTCCCGAGGCGAGTGAGAGAGCCCGGGCGCAGACGGTGGTGTCGGGGCCACTGCCCTGCTGCAGGAGGCTGCAGAGGAGGAGGGGGGCTCCCGCTGTCCCCGCCGTGCCGCTGGGGGCCCTGTGAGCCCGGTGCAGCCCAGCGGGGGCTCCTGCGGAGAGAGAGCAGCGCACTGGGGTTGCCTGGGCAGCTGAAGGGCAGAAGCGTGGCCCTAAGAATGGGGGCAGACTTCCCCTGTTTCTCCATTTTCCCCTGTGCTGCCCCCACAAAACTCTGTCGGGGCGTGTTTCGGGGCTGCTGGCAGAAATGGCATATTGCTAGACAGCAGGGTCCAGGGGTTTAGAGAGAGATGCTCGAGTCCAGCTCTGGCAGTGGGAAGGAATAAGGCAGATGCAGGAGCATGCCTCTTATTGTTAGGTCTGAAATTTATCTCAAAGCATTTCTTCATCCCACACTGAGATGCTATCATCTTCTTCCACTTAAAATGGGCAAAGAGCTTTACAAGGCTTTGGTGTCACTCATCTGGCAAAAGAGTGTGCCTGCATGGAGCTCCCTGCAGAATTGTGAGCCTCCATCGTTAAAGATTTTTAGGAAGGAATTGCATTTTTCCAGCAAAATTTACTATTGCATATTGTATAAACTTATGCTGTGCATAAACTTAGCATTAATTGTGCTCAGCTGAGCACATACTGGTGCACATACTGGTGCGCAGCTTCCTCTTGTGTTCTGGTTGTATCTGAAACGTACAATAAAAACATCTGCCTAGATAATGTTAAAATGGAAACATACAATTTTAATGTTTGCCTATAAAACATAATTATTTCAAATTTTACTCTTTTACCTTTATTAATCTGTAGATAATGAATGTGGATTAGAAGGGATATGTCCTTACTGCTTCCAGTTCCTGGTTCCTGATAGCCACCGGGTGCGTCTCAAACCAAAGATGAAAGTGACTCCACAGATAGAGAAAATTCTTAAACGAGAGGCGAAGAACCATAAACTTAGTATGAAACAGACAAAGCTTTTGAAAAAGTACAGGGAGTCAAGGAGTGCTGTGGTAAGGATATTTACTTGGAACTGCCAAATACCTGATACTTCCCTGAAACCTTTCAGTGGCATAAAAAAGAAGATATGGAAGTCTTTCTTTTAGAAGTGGAGCTCACACCTACGCATTTCTTTTTTCATGAGCATGTAACTCTTCCTTTCTTTGGGATAACTTCTATTCATAATCAAAATTTTAAAAATCTACCCTCCACAATAGAGAGATCATGAGCACAATGACAAGAACAGTAAGCTCCCCCCCCCCCCCAAAAAAAAACATCCAACCCCACATGTCAGAGAAGCTACACAAACAGCTCTGCCCTCCCTGTGATCTTTTTAGCAGCAGTCTGGGTAGACTCTGCAGATGTCCAAGATCTTGCTGAAAATTAAGTAATTTCTTCCTGCCAGGAAGCTCTGTCATTTCCACTGTCAGCTACTGTATCATTTGCATAGTTTTGCAAAAATGGCGGGAGTGGCATATTTTTGCCTGTTCCTTTTTGCCTATGAATGTGGTAGAACTAGGACCAGGCAACTCTGCTAGATGCAGAACCTTAATAGCCATGTAGATCCTAAAATCCATTAGAATCCTTAGAAATCCATTGCTGAGAATACCCCAAAACATACCTAAGAAGAAAAACATGCCATTGACTGAAGTCAGGCTGGTTTTGCCAGTGTGCATAGCTTGACATCTACTGCCTTTGTTTCAGCTGTGAAGAAGGGCTTGAGTGACTGATAGACGATCAGTTTTTTCAGTTTTATGTCTAAAATATATTTACAACTTGCAAGCTTTACTTCATTCGTCTCAGTAGACCGTCATGGCTACACTGGATTATTGTTACCTTCTGTACAAATTGAATTTTTTACATTTGTATGAATACTACTGTTTATAGGAAGTCTTTCAAAACTAAACCATGTCAGTAATTTGAAGAAGTTAATGTTGCTTTTGAGGCTTCAGTTCTTTTTCCTAAAATTACTCGGGAATATAAGATTTAATCACTATTTTTTATAGTAATTACTATTATTTGAAGAATAATAGTATACATTTAATCTAGTGTTGCGAAGGCATGCACTGCTACTATTAAAACGTTATGTAAATAGATGTTTAAATAAATGAGACAGCACCCTATTGTGCCCAGCAGTTGCTGGCACACTTGGCATTTTCTCAGACGAGAGTCTGCTGGTTTGGGGAGTAAAATCTGCGAAACCAAAAATTATTAAAGAGTCAAGAACACAAAATTAAACTGAGGAAATATGACAGTGGTTCTCAGCTGTTGGGGCAAAAAAAGGCACTCCAGAAAGGCACCCTTGCTATTATATTACTCTCCCAATTGTCGATCATAGTTGAGCAGCAGAAAGGCATCTGAGAAGCTGGAATCTTTGCTTTATTTTTCTGGGATCACAAATCCTTAGTGTATATGAAGAACTGTCTCTTTAGACAACTGATGAACAGCGTCCTGTGGAATTATGCTGGGTTCTTAGATTTATTCTGTAGCTGGCGAGGTTCGTGGGACGTGCTGTGCATTCATATGAGTAGTTTAAAATTCAGTTTTAAATAGGTCCAGTTTAAACTCTGGGTAATATTCTAATCTTGGGGTGTAATTACAGTTTGCTGCACTTGTGTTCTGCTCAGTTCTGCTTGCATTTGTGCTGTGGATTACGATTTAAGTATTTCTGGTCTTAAGTATTTAAAATACTGTCAGCAACTGACAGCTTTCAAAGTTAGCAATGTAGGTCCTTATAATGTAATACCTGAGACTCCCGAAAATGAAAATTCGAGTGTGGTTGGAAATAAAACCGAGCAACGACATGACAGGTTGTGCCTCTGATACCTTTCTTAGCAAGTAGAACTTGATTTGAGAATGCTTCTGCCGTGAAAAGACATACAACATTATGAACTATTTCAGGGCTTTTAAAATTTTTGGAGTTAACTGTATATGCAATTCAGGGAATGGAAACTAGCTGTGCTGTGCTATGATTAATCCACTAATTCCTGCACTGTAAGGTGTTCACCTCCATTTATATTCCATGGAGTGCTAAATCATCACGTGATGCTGGTTTTTTTTCCCCGTCTGAATCTCATTTAGAAGAACTAAAAATACATCAATACCTGAGCCATATAAGTTAATGATTTTTCTCTCTTTTAGTTTGTTAGGCTGACAAAATAATGTCTAGAGACAGTCAAAATGCTTAACTGAAAACGTATCGTTTTGGCATTTCTAAATGTAATTCTTTCTAAGCAACCTGAATTTAGGTAAATTTACACACTTTGAAATGAAGGATGATTTGGTATAGATGTTTTCAAAACTGTTTAGACATTTTTGTGACATTCTTTTGAGTATGTTTTTTAACCAGGAATGTCACATAACTGTGTTTTTTTAGTCAGTGTAATTGTGTGCCTCAAAAAGTTGTCTGGCTGTATTACTCTCACGTCTTTTAATCAGAGTGGTTGCCATGGCAGTCAGGGATATTAGGAATATCTGACAGTCTCTGTGACTGTCTGACATGATCTGTTCTGATGCACCTCTGCAACATACTGTGCTGCTGGAAGTTCCCTGCAGCCTAGAAGTAAACAGACAAAGAGGAAGTGCCCTTTGTTTAGAACCTCCTCTGTATTGTAGTAAGTATTTTTGCACTAATAGAACGCCTCTTCTTCCTTCACTAAGACTTGCTGTTATGAGTTATGGATGACTATTTTTGAGAGTTTGGTAATTTAAATATTCTATCTCAAGACTCCCTGAAAGTTATTTTTGAGAGTTTGGTAATTTAAATATTTTATCTCAAGACTCCCTGAAAGAGTGTAATATAACTTAATTGGGGGTAGAATATGCTAATGAATTCAGATCACACTGTACGTCATGTTTTTTAGCAAAATATGAATACCCCTTACGTACACTCAAGATACCATCTATCCAGTTCAGGTGCTGTTTCATCTTTCTGTTTTTACAGGGCGGTTTTCCATATTTCACTGTACAGCATTACATTCGGAGTTACAGGTCTCATGAAATTAGTTGCTAGGGGACTGGAGTCATTTCTAGGTAAACCCAGAGGATGTGTTTGGCTTAAGAAGCCTGAATGAAAATACTAGCTGTAAAGTATATGTTGCTTTTTAATATCTCATGTTTCACTTAAGCAAATATTTAATTTGTGTCATGATACTTGGAGAATAGTTTGGATAATTCTTACAATGGCTTTATAAGATAAAGGTGGCAAGACTGAAAGAATGGTTGATATTTCCTTTCTTCTCTCCATAGCTGGTTACTTGCAACTCATGCAACAAAACAACAAGACATTATGGTAAAAGCAGGGATTTTCTGGCTACCAAGACACACAATTCTGGCACTCCAAGTATTAAATCTAGCCTGAGGACACCAGATGTAAAAATTCAGTCTGCAAACAAAGTGACACCTGTAAGCTGCAATAGGCTGGGATCTAAAGGGAACACTCCCTCATCTCTTCCCAGGTACGAAGAGGCACTTTGCTGAGTAGTGTATTACGTCTTGTTGGGAAAGGGCGTCACATACTGATTTCAGATCAGTCACTTAATAAACTTTAAATTGATAACTAAGTATTTTTCTTTAGTGGTCTGATTGAGTAGATCAATTTTAACTTTCCAACCTTTAAAATCAAAGATTCTAATGAAAAGCGACTGTGTGCAAAGAATGCACAGTTACGTTTTTGTCATTAATGTGAAATGTCTGGCTTAATACTTGCATAACGAAGTTCTACTTCTGACTGCTCACTTTCACATGAAAATACACTATTTGCCTTCAAAATTTTTCACTCAAAATTGTATGTGTGCACTTCCGTAGTTACTTTATGTTAATTCTAATTCCTCACCTTTAAGACATTTGCGTCTTTTGTTTTTCAGAACCTGTGTATCCGGACAGGCGACAACCAGCTCTGCTTCCAAGACTCCCCGAAACTCCAAATTTCACTTTTCTAAGCTAAAACGGATGCTTAACCTAGAAGAAAAAGAGAAGAGCCAGAAGGCAGATTTGAAAACCTTCTTGACTTTACTTTAGTTATACATTATTTCAAAGTAATAAAGATTACAGCAATAAGTATTGTTCCAGTTTTAGTAAATCAACAAAGTGGTTCCTTTAAAACGCAAGCTGACAGCGTGTACCCTGGGAAAGCACAGACCAAGCTCTGTTTCTAAGGGGGCTGATTGTCCGCAAGAGGGAGATGAGAAAATAGCCAGTCTAATGTGCTTGGGAATCTTGAACATGTTTTGCAGTCTCTTAATGGCCCAAGAATTAAAAGCCAGGATCTATCCTTTGAGGAAGCTGACAATACTGGATCCATCAGTGGGTCCAGCAGGACCCACAGGTAAGTTGGCAGACCTGAAAGCGGCTTGGGGGTGGGGAGGCTGCAGTTTGCTCCAGTTCACTCTCCCACTATTTTTAAGATAATGCATCACAACAGAATTTAAAAGATCTCATCCCTGCTTTGCATGTTTGAGTAAAACGAAGACACTTTCCCCGGCACTTTCTGCAGGTGCGATATTTTCAAGGGTCTAATGTAGTGTCCCGTAGCATCGCTGTCTCTTGATACCTGCGGTAATCTAAGCACAGCCTTTAACACAGCCTTTACAAAGGTTCCAAAGTAACTTACTCTTTAAGACGGCGCTCATATACAAAGAGAGATAAAACAGTGTATCACCAGATTAAGTTTCTTCCTTTTCTTAAGAATGTTCTCTGTGATTTGGGCTGCAGACCGTACTGGTCGCAGGATAATGCAGAACCTTGTAAAACTGCACTCTAATGTGGGATGCTCTCAATACTGACTGACAGCTCCACGCTAGACTGCTCCCAGCACCCTAATTCGTTACTGCTATGAGAGTGGCACGGTCATAAAGAATATGGGATGCTTCCTTTCCAGTTGCTCTGGTGCTACCAAAATGGGTCATTTCTGTCTCGTTCAGAAATGACTAAGGAGAGAACCTCTTTCTTAAATGTCTTTTGGTTTTATGAGGCTTCAGAGTTGCTTCCTTCCTGGACTTCAATCTGAAAAACTAGTTTTGCCCTGGACAGTAGTGAACTCGTTGCACCAAAGTGTTTTGATGCAAATAGACAATTGTCAAGGTTAAAGCCATCTCCACTGTCAGATTTTACATTTTCAATTCAGCACAGAGACAGTAGAAAGTCACCGTTCAGGACCGAATTTATAGCCTGCCCTGCGTATAGTCTGCAGTGACAGGTCTGCAAACCGTGCTTCAGATTTCCCCTCTGAAAAGAGAATCAATCAGTTAAAAGGTCTGTATTTTCCTTTTTTTTTTGTATTCTAATGAATAGTTTCCTTTAAGTGTATTCAGACTCGATGAACACCGCTTAAGGAATAGGGCCAGCAAGTAAGTTGGCAGACCTGAAAACAATCCAGGGCAGGGGAGAATAGTTTGTTGCAAATTCTACTTACAGTCTCAAAGATTGGCATGTAACCTTTTTATATCTCCTGTACACTTGCACGGTAACTTTGAAAGGCTCACTGCCGTTTGTTTCTTACGTACGTGTAGGACCAAATTAACTGTCATTCATTGATGAAAATACGAGTTTCATCGTTCCAAATACGAGTTTGGAGTTACGCCTTTTCCAATGTAGAACTTGGCGTTAATTCACCTGTTGTTGCTGTATTTATGATCCAGTCCTCTGGAAAAATACTTCCATCTTGTTGATGGAGAATGTGCATTATACAAAAGTATTTGAAAAACAAGTTTGCAATAAATTTTTGTATGAAAAGTACACACATTAGGTACTCTACTGCTGTGCTTCCTATGAGGCTTACGTGAAACCAGCACGGGCATCTGCTATGTTTTAAGGTGCACCAACATGAATGTGTTAGATCAAGAGTATGCTTTTGAAACAGATCTCCCAGTTGTCCCTGTTTACCGTGCTTTTTACGCAACGCCGAGTGGTCTCGGAGTATATGAGTCACACTCCATTTGGATAAAACTACAGGTGATGGATAAAAGACATGATCCGGGGCACACCCAATGTGCTTGCGAACGCTAACGGGCAATCTATCCACAGGATCACAGGAGAGCTAGTCTGAAGTACGCATCTCCAAGAAGTGCATTGTGGATGCCAGGCACTGAGCTTCAGGTATTCTGCACTCCAGGTGTATCGCTATTGCCATGTGCTATTTGCTAACGTAGACAGAGTCTTGTCATGCTCCAGACAACATCTTTTTCTCTGTAATTACCACAATTGTCAGATGTGTCCAGATGTGTTGTTATAAGGGGTCACTATTGCAAGCTATCAGACTTTACCGTGGGAAAAAAAAATCATTTGGTATGTGCCGTTCCTTGTTTTACAAGCGTGCCTCAAAATGCTGGGCAGAAACAGTGTTGTATTTTCTATCTGAAGTGCTTTTATGTTATTCCTAAGCCTCCAATACAGGCTTTTTCTGTTACTGGACCTTCACAGAATCAATGTATTGAAAAACATATCTATCTATCTATAGACACACACACATATGTATACACATATCTCTATATATGATGTATATAGGTATATACATACATATACACACATCGAACATATAGATACATACACACATACATGTGCACACACACACACATGCATCTGATGCACTCTTCCCTTCAGAATATATTACGTTCCTGTGCTCGATGAAACACTGAAGGCTAATTGTTGCCTGCAATGGAGTATTGCTGAGCCTCCCCGTCAGACCTCTGCCGTGCAGCGTTGCTGGTTCGTGTTTGAAGAGCTGGAAGAACAACTCTTTATAGAGAGGAAACGGCCTCACTGATTTCAGTGAGGCCAGAATTTCACCCAGACTTCATAAAGCAAGACCAAGAAGGTTCTCTGTTAAGCATACACCCCTGCGTACAGGTATTTCATTACAGAGCGAGAGTTATTTCCTGGCACATACAAGTTCTACTTACGCAATGGTATGTATATCATTGACAGCAATAGCATCAGACCATATATCGAAAATGTTACAAAGTGTGTCGTAATATAACCAGCTCAACTAAAGCGTGTTTTATTCTGAAATGTCAGTTTGAGCCATTTTCCCATTTTCGAGTATTGGGAACCTCAAGCTGGCACATTACAGCTGGTTCCCTCACATTCGGCCCCGCCTCTGAAGAAATGCAAACTTTGGCCAAACTAGATGGTATGTGAACAATATTTCTTTTTAAGAAATCTACAGTTCTAGAGAGATGACCTCAGGCTTTTTAATGCACTGCTTCCTCACTGCAAACTCGCACAAAATACAAATACAGAGAGTAATAAACTTCAGAATTAGTATCGACCATTTCCCCAGCATCACCGTGAGATTTTGTTTGACTCCTAAGTATAGAGAGCAGTTTAGATTAAAGCCGTTTCACACCATGTGATTGAGTAGGCAAGCAATAAACAATGATTTTGAAGATGTTTTTACAACAATGTTTTATTCTATTAAATACGAAAGAGCGTACATATAGGTGTTATTCTGAGGACATAAATTACACAAAGATTACACGTTCTGTCAGAAAAGCACAATAATGAAACATCTTTACATTTCAAACTTTTCTTGTTAGCTTTTAACAAATGAGTCTATTTCTGTTGCAAACAAGTAACGAGTGCTATTGAATTTTTGCAAATTCCCACAAAAACATCATGCTTAGTAGGATACTTTAAATATTGTAAAGATGAAATCAGAATTAGATTTCTAAATAACAAGATGGAAGAGATTTACTACTTAATCAAGATAAATGACACACTGAAATAGGAGCCGAGACAAAATTGGTCATTCATTAAAAAAAAAAAATTCCACTTCAGACACTACATTTGAGTCTGCTTTCTTTACTTGCAGGAATAGTCACTGTGATTATATGCATGAGTAATGAGCAGAACTGGCCCTAAATATTTATAAATGTAACCGTCAAATTTTAGACGTGCTGGTTTTCTAGTTCACTAATTTTTCCACTTAAAAAAACCCCACACCCATGAATCTATCTGCTTATGTTTCAAAAGGTTGAAATCCAGCTCTTCCGTAGAGGGCCAGTCAAGCCTACGTATGATTTCCCTGTCTTCCACGGTCATCTGCACAGGGGGCTACTGCATCCTACGTATGTGTTTTGGGTCATCGCTGAAGTACCAGACTGAGTTACCACCGACTTGTGAGAGCAGTATTAGTCTGTGGAAGTCCTAACACGTTGTCTTTTTAGACGTCAGGTAAACAGGAATGTAATTTTATCGTAATGAAAGCTCTCAGCCTGACGTTCAGAAGACTACTCGGATAAAATACATAAGCAGCATGTAGTTTGGGTTGTGTTGCTAGGGGTTAACTGAGGTGTTTTAATATATTAATACAAACATTAACAGAGTGAAACAGACAAGCTAATGTTACTGCAGGCTGTAGTTTAATTTTCAAAAGGAGTAATGAAACACAATTTCTAAAAATGGTAATTTTTGCAACTAAGGAGTTAAATTTATTTTTAAAACCACAGAAGTGGGGTAATATTCCTGATATCTTTCGAAACATTCTGCAAGAACACAGCTTGAGCCTGCAAACACTAGAATATACAAGCAGTCCCAGTGACCTCCAAGGTAAGCATTCTCACATGGCAAAGAGCTGCAGGAATCTCTCTGCTTTTTTCAGAGAACGCTCAATAAAAGTGCAATATAGTGAAGCAAATAATCTAATTATTATGCTTTTATTATTAGATGAAAAATGTTCAGATATTTTATAATTGTGCCTTTTGTAGGGTGGGCATTCTGGTTTGAGTAGAGTCAGACCACGTTAGAAGAGACGGGCAGGGTACTGTACGCATTTTCTTTCCCAGGGTGGCAACACCCCAAAGCAGTTCCATGGTATAATCCCATCTACAGCTAAAACATTGTGCTGCCCAGTTTCACACTGTTAAATAACTGTTTTGACAAAAGTTGACATTTGTTTTGCTTTTCATTTCCACCCAGGCATGTTCTCCCTTTCAGCTCCTAGGCACCCTTCCTTTCCCCACCCAGCCTCTTTTCTTCCTGAGATGTCAGAAGTACGTACGTTAAGCTTTGGAACCTGAGAATTTGGAGGTATTTTTTGATTCTACAGGGCTGCATTTGTATCGTACCATGTTATCTCCTGCT